CCTGTTTTCAAACTGGGAAGCCAAGAAGTGGAGACACCTGCGGGACTTAACCTTGTCTTTCCTCTTTTGTTGCCTGTTGCCGAAGCTGCTACCTTTCTTTTTCACTGTGCACATCAGTGTTCACCTTTCCCCATCCAGCACAATCTCGGGCTCAGATGCCCAGCACAGTTTTGTCTCATAATATTCTAGACTAATTTGATGCTCTTGGGAATTTTTTTCTTTTCTTTTCTTCCTTTGAAGCCTAGAACATTTAAAGCAGAGGTTCTGATACTAAAATGACAGAACATTGGGTCCAGTTCTTAGCACCAACATGACTGCACTGGCAGCATTTGCTTTAAAGCCTCTAGTTTGTGAGTTTCTCCCAGAAGAACCATTGAACACCGATTAACATTGATTTGAAAAGTTCCTAAAAATGGCCACAGTTTCTTCAGATTGTGTAGAACTTTGCTTCCTTCCAGGACTCTGCAAGGAGTGGCGGGGTGCTTGCAAGCCTCACGTTTTAAACCGTTGGCTTCTGCATTTGAAAAGCTGTCTGTCCCTCTGCCTGGCCTTTGTCCTTACTGTTCCCGCCAGCGTGTGACTGATCGTGAGGACACCTTGACCAGAAACACAGCGCATGTGAACATTGTTGTCTGTGTCCAGTTGTGAGCTTCTTGAGGTGCCATTGCACACAGGCAAAAAGATTTGGTTTGTAGGGTTTTTTAAAACTTCAAAACGCATCTCTCCGTGGTTCTGTCGCACTGGAATACCCAATATGACAGCTACCCCTCTCCAAGCTTGCTGAATGATTGATATCACCCAATTCCTATCATATTCCCGCCTAAAGAGTTAACAAGAGCTAGACTTAGATTTCAGTTTGCAGAAAGCTTACCTGTAGGGAGAAAGATGACCGTGTTGATATAAATTTAGGAGAGAGAGTTCTTAGTGTTAATAATGATAATTTTTTGTTTTATTTTTATTGTGTGTGTGGGAACACGCTGTTTTAAAAATAAATAAATAAAAATAATTGACCTAGTGCAACATCTAGGATAAGTCTTGCCTTTTCATTAGGAAAAATATTAGCAAGATTTCCGTTTTAAAGCAGCTGCTGTTCCATGCGAAGGACCTCTTTAGGTTCGCTGTTACAGAACTTGGTTCAGCCATTAGGCCAGCTGCCTTTCTCCCCACCTGTACTCCTGGTGCAGTTTGCATATGAAGCCCATCTCTCAGTAACAAACAGTAGATCGTGTTCATCTGTGTGCCAAAACTCAGACCATTATTACGTCTTTGCTGTTATTCTAGCCTTCATATCGGAACCCAGGAGGGGAAAATAAAGAGGTGATTAGGGAAATGAATTCTGTTAACACTCACCCCGCCCCCCGTGTGCTCATTTTGCCTCACAAAGGGTACTGCCACACGTGAGTTAAGAATGGTGAATGAAGATGGAAATGGTTGCTTGGGATGACAGAACTCTACTTCAAGTTAAGACGGGGAGCCAGAATGCTTGGCTCAACCAACCTTTCCTCTTTGAACATTTATGCGCAAGCTAGGGGCAGCAAGTCCGCTAGTTCTGTTTTTGATGGATATGCAATATACTAAACTGATCATTGACACATTTCAACGTCCCTGGGTTTTATTGCTGTTGTTACCTAGATAGCCTGTTTAAGAAAGAGTAAACCATTGAAAATGCAGGCTATTATACAAAAACAAAGACCATTCAGTTTCTTACTATCGTAGGAGAATCAGTCATTCTCTGATTGAAAGTTGATTTTAAATCAGCCATCTCAGCTTAGCTACATTTTGAGGGAAGGAAGAGGAATTTTTTTAGAAACCTCCATTCTTAACTCATTTTTTGAAAAAGATCCAAGCAGTTTCCTGGGTGGTCACAGCAAGCCTGCTGAAAGGCAAAGATCGTGACACCATGTGTGAATGTACTTAGTAATTTACCTCGGACGATTTGGTGTCTTAACACTTTGGTTTATATCTCAGGGGTTGTCTGCAAACCAAAACTGACATATGCTGTGGTTAATGTTTTCTTTTTTTTTTTTTAACAGTCCTTTGCCTTGAGTGTATTCCTTCTTCTTTTGTCTTAACTGGATTACTAGCTAGTCTCCATGAACATGAACTTCCCTTTGAAAGAGCTTGTACAAGTTAGATGAGTCAAAGTGTTCTTTGAAGTAGCAGCCAATTGGGGGTATATGCTCTGTTATATAGAAATAAAATGTCCTTGCTATTTTCTTACATTTAGCTTTGCTAAATTGTATATAATTTGAGCTTAAAAAGACCATAAAATTCACTTTCTGCATGGTAAAATTACCCAATAAATATTCCACTTTGCTTAATAATAATGTACATACAATGCATTATTTCCACCACCACCCTCCTTTTTGTAGATGGATTTTGTGGCGGATAATTGTCTGTTCCCTGTTGAAATGGAAGCATTCTCATTTTGTGTGACTGTTTTTGTGGTCTTACGGAGATGAGGTACATGGCGACTTCTGCAGCAGTATCTGTGGTTCAGGCTACCTTTTCAAAGAAGAGCCTGCGGGCACCAGACCGTGGAAGTGTGCTAGAACAAAGTAGCGTGTAAACCAGTTGCTTTTCAAAGGTTTCACTGGGAACTTGATTTTAGCTCTATTTGATTTCAGTCAGTTTGAGAAGAGATCGACCTGTGCACCAGTTCTTGGTTGCTGAATATTTACAGGAACATTTTGTGTAATTTTTGTTGTGAATGTTCAGAAGAACATCTACTCTTCACTTTGAAAGACTACTTTTTAATTATACCTCATTTAGCTATCTAGCATTCTAATATCTGGTAAAACAGAAGACAAAAAAGCGGAACCAGTCTGTAAGCAGTGTCTGAAACCTAGGGTTTATGTTTTGTTTAAACTACAGGAGGACTGTAGTTGGGACAGGAAGGCGGGTGTTTTAGAACAGACTTGTCATGCCCAGTAATGCAGTCTTCCCTCCCCATCTCTATAAATTAACTTAGCTGTGCAATATCGATCAATGTTTGCCCAAGTTTCTATGTCAGAGATTATAAACTGCATTTTATAGGTCTGAATGCTGAGAATCTGTATTAAGGTTTATAATGTTTTTCTTGTGACTAGTTTAAGTGCTACCTTGAAGCAGACATTGTTGCCTAGTTTCTGACTTGGATTCCTTAATGCGTTCAATTTTTAATCTGTACAGGTGAACTTCTAGGTTTACAATTGTAGACCGCATTTCATAATGTTGGCTTACTTAACTCAGATTTTAAGCACTCACTTCTATAATCAGGATTTTTAGGGGAAAATTTTTCAACAGAAAAGACACCCTTTTTTCCTTCTTGTTATAGCCAAAGAAGGCAAAAATCAAAAGGCATGTCTACAAACGAAATCCTTTGGCTTCGAAGGGCAGGATATTCTAATGAAATTTCCAAATTCTAGCACACTTTTGCAGTAGCATCAAACCTCTTTTTTAGACTAATAAGTGAACAGCAGTCATGTTTACTATGAAAAAAATTTTAAGTGACTGAAATGTACAGATAATAAAATTAACTAGTATTTTAGAGATATTTTCAGATTTGTTGCTGGGGTTTTTTTGTGCAAATTCATGTGCCACATCCTGTTGCGTTTCTTGCTGCCAAGAATGAATGGAACTTTTAATTTCATTTTCTTTTTTTAAAATGTGAATTTAATCATTGTTTGTTCCAATGGCCTTACAGTTTGGCTTTAGTTTGTTTTCAGCTGACATGGCAGTTCCTTTAATGCAAAACCATAGACATGCTGACTAAAATCATGTCCTTAAAGGAAAAGATCTAGTTTCGCCATGAAATTATCCTGTTGTGTGTGATTACGCTTATTTTATTTCCGCCCCGACAGCTCAATGAGAAAAGTCCCTGCAGATAAGGTGGACTTGTCATGTGCTTAAACTTGCCGAAGTCAGTTCATTAACTGAGTACCGATACTGAGGCTGTGGATTTTCTTTTTTTGTAATGGATTTTATTCCCGGTGAACTTTTTTTTTTTTACAATAATGTTCATCTAAAATAAAGATTACATAATGAAAATACTCAGGACTCGTTGAAATGGATTCCACACTTGAGATGGTTTCTTCAAGTTGCTGGGATTTGACTCCAATCATGATAGCAAAAGCCTAACCTGTAACAATCCTGCCAGACAGTAGAGCTGCTCCACAGGGTGTCTGAGGCTGCAATCTTCCCTGAAGCAGACAGCCTCCTCTTACTCTTGGTGAGTGGCTAGTGGTTTGAACCACCAAACTTTGGTTTAAAAACAAAACAACTCAATGCCATTGGGTTGATAACCAAGTCATACAGACCCCATGGGACAGGTTCGATTTGCCCCTGTGTGTTTTCCTGAGACGAACTCTTCATGGGAATAGAAGGGCTAGTATTTCTCCTGCACAGCAGCTGGTGGTTTGGGGCTGCGTAACCACTAGACTTGAGATACTGTAGCAAGTAACAAATACACGCTGCTTGCCCGCATGGAATCCTATCACTGTGCTCATGTGTGGGTCCTGGATTGTCCCCCAACCATCTTAAACCTCAGCGATGCTTTTCAAGCTTCCCTCCTTTTGCTCATTCATGGGAAGACATACCTTTGATCTCTTGCCTCACAGAGAAAAGCTTTCATCCAAAACCATCTTCATATCCTCTCTCCAACCCAACCTAAACCTCAGGAGGACTGACTAGTGGCCCTACTCTGTTTTACTGAGAACTTCGCCCCTGTTGTCCCTTCTCACCCTCATTGTCCAGGTCTGTTAGCATTAGCAGAAGCCTAGAGAACGCGTGGGTGTTACCTTCTTTGGAAAAACCTCCTATGTGTAATTTTATTTATTCATTACATGGCTCAGCTCCAAAAAGCATTTGAGGCAGCTTTGACTAAGACCTATAGGTAATCAAATCATGAAAAGATAGGCAAAAGAATTAAGTCCTCTTCTGAAGTCATGGCTGTAATTGTAACGGGAGGGATGGGGCCCACAGAAGAACAGATGTAGTTGAGTATTCAAGTTAGCCTCTTCCTCCCTAGGAGGTGAGGTAAAGCCTAGATGGTCATAAACAGCATACAAATCTGTCAGGAGAAATCCGACTTTTTCTCCTCTGCCCCTGCCCGAGGTCACAAATTGAGGGAGACAAATAAGTAAGCAGGCCTCTGGTAAAGCCTGATGGGGGAAGGGATGTTTCTATTATCAGAGGATGGCCCCAGAACACCTCAGCACCCTTTTTTGGAAAACCTGGGGGAAATCAAATAAAGCC